AAGGAATTAATTCTGCATTCAGGAGTCTGTATAGTTACCTGTATAGGTCTTTTATAATGTGAGGTAATATTATCATAGATTGTGGTGACTAAGAAATGGACATGGACATCTTTGGGAGGCTACTAGTATACTTACCACAGGGCAGACTTTCACTAAAAATATGAAAAAAAAATGTCCTAAAAATTAGAGTTCCTCTGATGGGTTGCTGGCTATACAACTGGGTTTCTCCAGTGGAGGCAAGAAAATTTCGAACAACCACATGCCACATGTACTGTGAAAGGAGTCACACGTCAGAATGACCTCTGCACCAGTCCTGTGTATTCGTTAGAGCATGAGTCTAGGAAGAACCTTGTTCTAAAGGGATGGGTTTTGTGATTTTGCCACAGGCTTTACTTTTCACATGATGTCTGACTCTGTGTCTCGTGGCCTTACTAGGTTATGAACTCTTCAGCAGTCAGGTTCTGTGTATTTTGCCTTTTATCCCATGTAGCCAATCATACAGGAGAGACTTGATAATGTTTGTAATAAATTTAACTGATTCATTAACTGAGTTAAACAGGATGAGGTTTGTACCAGTAGAATTAGTTGAACTCCAGGAGACTACTTCAACTATTTGCTATTTAGAAAAAGTAATGATGAAATGTCGCCACTTGCAGTAATGTGGATGGACCTAGAAGATATGATGTTTAGTGAAATAAGACAGATGGAGAAAGCATCTTATGATTTCACTCACATATGGTACACAAACAAGACAAGGAAAGAATTAAATAAAACACAAATTAACTTTTAGACTATAGACCGATTACTGATTGCTAGAAAAGGAGGGGAGAGAGATGAGTAAGTTGGTAAAAGAACTCAACTGTATGGTGAAAAAAAAGAATTAGACATTCAGTGGTGAATTTAATATAATATAAACAGATGTTGATATTTAATGATGTACAGCTGAAACTTATATAATGTTTTCCTATAGTATTACTTCAATTAAAAAACCATAAAGTTAATAGCAATATCACTGGCAAACATAAAAAAATGTAGATGCTGACCATCAATTTGGATCACTGTAGCAAATCAAGACATTTTATATTCAGAGTCTGAAATTACAGGTTTTAAAAGTTCCCAAACCTGCTTTTAGATTGCCTAGCTATAGTGCTCTAATTCTGGCACAATGTTTAAAGTCTTTGTAGGATATTACATCATTTCTGGAAGCATCTGGGACTAGCTAAATACAAGCTGCTGGGGAGATATGCTCTATCACTGAATGGAAGTACCAGAAGCAAAATCATCATCAGTATTGATCATTAGGGTTTCTACCAAAAGCCCACAAGACATTTACTATGCTATTACTTCAGGCTCTCACTTGTGGCCCTTACCTCTGTTGCAGGAATAGAGGTTTGGTTGGAGGCCATGATTATTGGTCCACAGTTGGCCTTCAGACCTTCCAGAAAGGAAGAGAAGTCACAACCTGTTTTATTTTTCCCTTCCCTGACTTAAGAGTCCCATGGAAAGCCCATTCCTATTAATTTGTTTTCTTTGACTGTTAATATATTTGAGAAAGGATTAAAAAGAAATACTGTCCTAAAACAGTAAAATAAAGAGACTTTGCAAAGTTTGCCAGAGATCTGAAGTTTACCCAGGCCCTCAGGGACCAGTACTGCCCAGCAGTAGAATTTTTTAACTTTATGTATAATTTCTCCAAAGGGTGGCTCCTTTGATTCTTTACAGTAAACCTGAAATTGACTTTGGAGTTTAGAACCAAAAATACATGTTAAAAGGCATTTTAACTTACTTTGGGTGATGAATGCCTGTGCAGATTGGCTAACAAGTACATGTCAACATGAATTTCAGGGGTTCCTTCTATTCTGAATTTCCCTTTGCATGTTGTCTTTGACCCTTCTACTTTATACTTGGAGTTGAGTTATTTCTGTAAAGCGGACAATTTCCTTGATGTGGCTCTTTAAAGAAATAATCCAGAGACATTCTTCTCCCTCCCCCCGTCTCCCGGCCCTGTCTTATTCCCAGGCAACATGCTCCAGCAATATAGGTTACCCCATAAACTGTCAGATAGATTATCTAAGTAGCCCCTTGATACCTTCTGAGCAGAAATGGGCAACAGCAAAGGCAGGGGAACAAGAATGCCTTAAAGAGAAAAAGCAAGAAGCATGGCAGCCTGTGAAAACTTGAGTAAAGGAATTGTGGCATGTTTATCATTCTAATGCAGAACCTAGCTCACATCAGTTTCTTCTTGTCATTGCTGAACTGAAATCAATGAACATTTATTTTGCTTCGTGAGACATGTTCTTTGACAAGCGCTGTGCCAGAAATCCATGTACATCCCATCCAAATACCAGAGTTTTAGTTAGGAAAAAAACTGTATAGAATTAAAAAGAAAACTGCTTATCAAACATTGGTTTGACTTTTAGTTCTCTCTTTCATTTTTTTTTCTTGGATTTATCTATTTTTTCTTTCCCTAAGTTACTGACTTGAGTTCTCAACTTATAGATTTTCATTGATTCTTCATTAGTTAAATAAGCATTTATGTTTACATATTTCTCACTATAGCTACCTACCTCCTATGACCTTGTGTAGCATTTCCACCACTGTTCAGTATAAAGTATTTTAAATTTTCAATTATTTTTTCAGTGACCCATAAATTTAGAAATGATTTTTTAAGTCAAACATATTTATTATTGTAGTTAGTCGACTTGCATAAAATACTATCCATGAGAATAATATGTATCTGTTATCTTCATTATACCAGCCTTGTGTTTAATGTTTCACTTTTTTTTTTTTCCTTTCTAGATGATTGTTTTGCTGTTTGATGAAAGCAGGGTTAAAAATCAGCCTTTATATTTGTGGACTGAATATAAATTGAGGTTATCATATTAGGCAGATAAAAAACTGTTATGACTTTTTAGAAAATATTTTCTTTTTTTTTTTAACCCTAACAATAACTTCCCTGATTTTATTTTGTGTTCTCTTTGCTCAGTATATATTTCAGTACCTTTTTTTCTCCCAATATTAGGTGTTTTTTGTTTAAATGTTTTAAATGTGATCAGCACATATATAGATATTGACTATTTCAAAAGGCATCTTATTTGGAGCTTTTTATTTACCTTGCTTTATTTTATTGTCTTTATTTCTTCAATTTTACCTTCTTTAAATAAGATTAAGAATGTTTCATATACATTTTTCTTTTCAGATTATGAAATGTTTTGTGTTACCTCTCTGCTTTTAATGCTAACCTTTATACTTCTTACATATACAGTTAAGTCTATAATCTGTTTTGTTACTTCTCTCTTGAATAATACAATGCCTTAGAATGCCTTTGTATTAAAACCATTCAGTATTGGGTGATTTCGTGAGGGGAAGCCCAAGGGGATTCAACTGAGATGGAAAAATCCACAAAATGATGTAAAAATAATCTATTATATTATTAAAACATAAAACATAATAATTGCTTGGAAAAAAAGAACATTCAGTATTTTAGAACCATCCTGCTTTTTTTTAAAACTCCAAGCTAGTTGTTATTTTTATTTTGAACAATCAATTCTTCAAATTTGCACTGCATTTTTTTCCTTATTCACAATGGCTTTTTGCATCTCATTCTTTCCCTGAGTTGAATTTCCTTTCTGAGTTATAGCTTTAGAACTATCTAACAATAATTAATTGTTTTTGCCTTTTATTAATTTTTTTTAAAGATTTGTTTAATTATTTATGCATATAAGAACTGGGGTGCAGCTAAAGTAGGGAGGGGGGTAAGAGATTTACCAGGGACAGAGTGGGGAGCAGAACAGGCAGTTCCATTGAAAAATACTGCTGAAGTGTACTTCGTTGATCTGCCTGTCTCTGGTGAAGCCTCTCGCCGCCCCTGAGCCTCTGGCCTTGTACCCCAGTTCTGTATGCACAAATAAATAAATCTTTAAAAAAAAAAAGAAAAAAGAAAAATACTGCTGAGGGGAGCAACGGGTGATACAGGAAAGGTCTGATTCCAGCTCAACTTTCCTTTCTTGTTGGGCACTGATGAGGACCTAAAGTAATCTACTCTTCCTTTACTTCTGGCCCTTTTTGATTTCCATTACTTTCTTACAAATTTGGAAAGGATGTTTGTTCTTTTCATTTTTTATTTAGGATTTAGTAGCAAAGAGCTTTGGGGAAGCTAAAGACCATGTTGCCAGAACCAGAAGTCTGGGGAAGTCATTTCCATGTATTCAAAAATTAATCATACAACATCATCTCTGATGTGGAATAATTTTAATGTGCCATTTACAAACACCAGATTTTAGAATGTGAGGCATTTAGGAATTAAACATCTCTTTAGTACATTCTTTAAATTACCTGGGAACTATTTTCTTCTAAATTTGTATTGGAAATTTCTTGAGACCATGTTCATGAAATACCAAATCTTGTAATGAAATCTTGAGGACAATAAGTATGGAATAATAGGAACAGAGGCTATTTATGGACTTGTTAAAAACTCTTTTAGGAACACATAATAGTAACTCAACTCCAAATGGCTTCAGTAAAAAGGGATATTAACTGACTCAGATAGCCAAAAAATCCTGGGTTGTATTATTCAAGTACAGCTGAATTGACATGCTCAGAGGATGTAATTAGAATCACTCTCTTTTAATCTCTCGGTTCTACTTTATTTTTCTGTGTTGGCTTCATCCTCTTTTGGCCTCTCCCCTGATAGTGACAAGATGTTTTCCAACACACAAATTAAAGAGAGCTCTAGTGAATATTCTGAGGCTGTGGCTTCCTGGCCTGCAGAGGTCACTTGCTCATCCCTGGTCAATCCAAGTGGCTAAGGGGTGGTGTGTTCTGATTTGGCCAAGCTCTGGCCAAGCTACATAGGTTGGAAATGGAGGAAAGTAATTATCTGAGCCCAAAATTGGGGGACAATCACAATAGGAGATGGGTGCATAAAACACAACTAATGTTTCCCATGACCTCTCTAATTGTTTTTTTGTATGTGTGTGTTTGTTTATTATTCATTTCAGGATAGTGTTGAATTTAGAAACATCTGCAGTCATTTGGCTCTACAAATCGAAGGACAGCAGTTTGACAGAGATTTGAATGCTGCCCACCAGTGTTTGAAGACAATAGTCAAGAAGCTGATTCAGTCACTTGCTAATCTTCCTTCGGATGCCCATGTGGTAGCCTGTGCTTCCTTGAGACAAATTTTACAGAATCTCCCAGATGTATGAGTTTAAGTACACTGGAATTAAGACCACAGCTAGCATTTCTAAGAGAACTGGTATTTTACCTTCCTAACTGAACCTGGTTTGTATTCCTAGCAAGGAGAGACTTGCTCGCATGTAGAGCTATCTCACCAGTACCATTTATATCCTTCATAATATAGCATGTTGGTGACTGATTTTTAAGCAGTAGTTCACATTTTTGAGAATGTTGATACACTGCTGACTTTTTGACTGAAACATATTCTACTTTGTGGAACTGAATGGAAAAAGAAAATATATATGTACTTCATGTTATCATTTTGATCAAATATCACCTTAATCTAAATAATGTGGGTCTATGAGATTTAATATGATTATATGTTAAAGCTTCATGATTCTTAAATTGACTAAATGGGATATTTCATAATCGATGCATTATATTTATTGAGCAATTCACTTTATATTATGAGAATAATCTTTAGATGTTGTAGGACCACGTGTCAGTAATTATGACTTTCAGTTCTGATGTTAATAACTTACTATTGTGCAGGAGAAGAGCTGCTTCTAAACCTTGTGCTTTTATGTACTGACTTGTAAATTGAAAATGATAATGAGCTATGAAGTAACAAGGATATATGATATGCAAACCCAAAGTACATTATTATTAAAGCCTCATGTGGAAACATCTAGCTCCTCTCACTATTTCTGAAAATTCCAACTGAAGTAGGAAATTCTTGTGAAAAAAGAGAGGGAGTGGATATATTGGCAGGTTTCTCTAAATATTTAGAGCTAGGGAAGGAGAGGGTGACGTTTTTGCAACAATCTGCACACGCTTAGGAAAAACTAAATTTCCTGTTGTTTAATAGTGACTGTTGAGAACCAAAGTAAATTGAAATGCTGATTTTCCCTTAAACTTTTAATAGAATGGTATCATATTTAGTGAAAACCATATATTTGTAAAGCTTGTTTTCTAAAGGAACCATAAACTAGGTCGGTCTGTGTGGTGAGAGTATATTTATTATTAAGAAATAAAATGTCAGTAAAAATCAAAGACTTTAATTCCAGTCTCAGTAAGTTCCAAATGTTTTCTTTCAGAAATTTAGGAAAATATTGCTTCTCTTTAAAAAGTAACCATTTCCACAAACAAGAATTAGATAAATGAAATTGAATTCTAAATGAAAGATAACAGGTTGAGTGCATGAGCATGTGCGTATATGTAGAGATTAGTTCTCCTAATCTTTGGAAACATTACAGTCTGTCACTATCACTATATTTTATGGTGTTATCTTTCCACAGAGAAACTATCCCAGGGCTCTCCTCTAAAGATTTACCATTACTTAGAGACTGCTTTCTCCACTGTAGTCAGTATTCTCTCAATAAATATTGATGTCTTAAATGTTTTTACTTTTACCTCAACAATATATTTGCCTTTCTGTCTGTGCTGTGCCTTTCCCCCTCACTTTGTAATGTGTTTTCCATAGAAAAACTAACAACCTATTGACCCTTCAATGCTTGGTTTATATATTACCCCTCTCTGGATCCTACTGGAACATCCTATAGGGCATTGAACTTGTATAAAACATGTTTTGGCTGGCATTCACCACATGTCCTCCCGCAGTGTGGCTGTAGTACATCTTCTACCTAGTCAGCCTACAGAAGGCAGGGATTATTCTAGACATCTTTGTATATTGCATAGCAATTGCAGTTCTGCTTGATGCTGCTAGAACTTCCACAACCCATGCCCATTCTTACTTTGGTGGTCAGTGGAATGAGATGTTACCTCACTGTGGGTTTGATTGTATGTCCCAGGTGATAAGTGAAGATAATATTTTTTTCATGTGCCTATTGGTCATCTGTATGTCTTCTTTTGGAGAAGCGCCTATTTAGTTCTTCAGTCCTTTTTTTTGATTATGTTCTTTGATTCCTTTTTGTTGAGTCATATGAGCTCTTTGTAGATCTTAGCTATTAACCTCTTGTCAGATATATGATGTGCAAATATTTTCACCCATTCAGTAAGTTGTCTCTTTGTTTTGAGTATTTTTCACTGTACAGAAACTTTAAAAGGCATTTCTTTTAATTCTGTTATTATGGGCTACTTTCTCCTAAAACCACGTTATCATCATTTTCATCATCATTATCATCATCACCATTATCAAACACAACAATCTTAGTGCACATCTTCCTACATTAGTTTATCTCCAGCAATTTTCAGGGAAATTCAGCCATCTTGGTGTCAGGTCATGTTTTTGTTTGTTTGTTTGTTTGTTTGTTTGTTTGTTTGTTTTTTAAGGTCATATAGTATCCTTATCTGAGGACAGTTCCTGGATATATTTTCATAATGCTATGAAGTTGAATCATCTGATAGTTTCTTTGCTGGGTTGCCTTGAATATTTTACTCTTCCATTCCTCTGGATTCATGTTTGGATGCTCTTTAATAACTGATTTACCAATGGTGGAGATTTATTTGCTTAGAGAATAAAAATAGAGGTCATGCGGGGTACTTTCTAGTAGAACTGGATAAACAAGTGACAAGATAATACCGATACCCTTTCTCTCATTTGTAGATAACTTTCTCACTGCGCTCTCTAATTTTCTGGAAGCACCACAAACCCCTATATCATTCTAAATTCTACATCATTTTTACTGCTTATACTGATACATAAAATATCTTCAATTTCCTTTGACTGGGCTCCATTTTCTTTTGCCTCTTTAAAAACCCACTTCTTCCCGCATTTAAATGCTCTCTTACTTTTCTAACTGACAGAGCTTCACCCCAACTGGGTGTTTTCTTAGTTTAAGTGAAGGCCTTCAGAGGTAAGAACCATTCAGAAACTTATTTCATGTAGAACACTGAACTGCATGTCTTTTACATCTAAAATTTCCTCTGACCATTGGCCCCATTTCCCATTGTTCTTTATGGTCAGGTGCCAGATACTTATGTAGTAAATCTATCTGGGAGGAGAGTAAATTCTTTGAGTCTATGAGTTTCAAGACACATTTAATTCAGCAGAACCTGAAATAATACATGTTTTGTATAATCTGGGTATCCTCACCAGGGATCTCAGTGTTCCTTTCTATAGCCAAAAAATTACCACAGTCCTGGTTTTACTTAACTATACATCAGAAGCAAAGGTCTGGCCTGTTGCACCCCTGGCATATGTTACCAGAGTTTACCTTTGTCTGATGTGACTTGTTTACTGCTATGCTCAATAGAAGTGATATTTAAAGCTGAGCCATAGTTTAAACATTTTCTTTTTTTTTTTTTTTTTTGGTAGACAAGCTCATATCTGCTCCACACTTACAATCACAGGTCCAGAGACACTTTTAAGGTTAACAGCAATCTTTCCAGCACAGAAGTAATATTAATTTGTTTTCCCCTTGCCTTATAGAAGACCTTGATAGACATCATGGCTTCATTGTCTTTAAAAGGACATTATATCTGTGGATCATAAAGGGTATCTGGTAGAAAAATAAATTTTACAGCAAACCTAGAAAGAAGTCCAGAAGACAGTGTTGGGCTAAATTGATGTAAAGAGAAGATAGGGATGTCCACACACCTCTTCTCCTTCCTGCGTGTGTCACTGTAATTATGAGTGTGTGGGTATACATACACGGGCTGGAGAAAGGGAGGAAGAGCCCCTGCACCAGGTGATATAATCCCAAGCATGAATAAAGCAGTGGAATAATTTGAAAAGTTAATTTTTGAGAGATAGCTATAGACTCATCCTGCAGAGTGCATCAGATTTGTTTGATTGGTTGTAATTTGCTCAAATGAAAAATGCAGCAACTGTTTCATGCCATTTTATAATTTGGGAAGTACTGATGTGACAGTTATTTTATACACAATCTGAGTCCTCAAAGTCTGTCTTCAACACTCTATCATCTCTTAGTTGTTTTTTTGTTTTTTTTTTCACCTCTTAGTTTTAATCTCCTTTCAGAACTTCTATGTCTTGGACCATATTTTATAGAATTTGAGGGTAATTATTCACATTTCTATTGATTATATTAGATTTTTTTGGTATCTAAACATTCTTTTATTCATAAATATAATTAACAGGTGTTGGTCTTTGTTTCTTTTCCCTCAGACTTTCATGTCCTCTTGCCTCTTTTTCCAGTCTTAGATTACATACTTATTAGATATGTATTTCCTTTGTAATACAAGATGAGCTTTCCTGTGTATATAGCAGGAATACTATTTATATTCATATTAGATGAATGGTTATACCTAGAGGAATATGAATGCAGGTCTTTTTATCTATTTTCTGACTTTGTGCAATTTTGAATAAAAGCCAGAAATGGAGAGAGGAAAATAAGCCAGTAGAGCTCATAAAACACTAGAAACTTCCAGGGTTGAAGGTGCTAAAATGACCTGTTATTATGCTTATTGATTATTGCAAAGCACCTAAAGAAGGTTCCTAGAGAAACTAACCTTGAGATTAGTTTTAGTGGTCCACCTTCCACCTGTCTGTCCAGATTACCAAAGAACTGGATTCAGATCATTTTCTGGGTGGAGAACCAGAAAACTTCCATTTACTACTATGCTGGACCTCAAATTCCAGGAGGACAGAAGATCCTTTGTTCAAGACCTTGCCTTATGTATCTCTTTATCTGGCTCTTGATTTGTAATCTTTAATAGTCATTAAAATAAACTTGTAATTGTGAATAAAATGTTTTCCTGAGTTATGTGAGCCTCTCCAGCAGATTAATTGAATCCATGGGGGAGGTCTTGAAAACTCAATGGTCAGAAGCACAAGTATCAACTTGGGATGATGATTAGCATATTAAGTGGAAGGTAGAAGGCAGTCTGGTGGGCCTGAGCCCTGAACCTTTAAAATCTGACACTATCTCTGGTTGGACAGTGTCAAAGATGAGTTGAATTGTAGGACACCCAGTTAATTGGTTGGTGGTGTGGGTAGATACCCGTGTCCCCCATACTTTGTAATTGGTGATTAAAATTACACTTGATGCTGTAATTTCTCTCACATATTTGCTTAATCAAATTTAAATGGTTGTTACAATGTCTGTATTATCATACATTGTGATTAAAAGAGGTGTGTAGTTTTACTATTCAGTAACAGTAGAGATTGAAAGGGGAATAAAACAGGAATTATGGCTACAGATTGCACTGAATACTGTTTTGCTCCTATCTTCAGGGCCTAACTTCTCCTGGAGGAAACATTGCAAGAACATCAACCTCACATTCATAATCTCACATGCAGACTAAGTGGGCCCACAGGGTGGGTGGATTACTGCAAATTTACCCAGAAGATAAATAAATACACATTCTAACTCTAATGCAAGCCACCATCTATTCTATATGTTCCTTTTTTTTTTTTTCCTGGTTGTTTTGATAACAGAATCTGCTCAATAGTTGATCTAGTCAGTATGGAAATAACTAAAAAAGAATTGATGGCAAGTCCAATCAGTTCAATCAGAATGTGTGT